GAGAGAGGGGGAGAGGGAGAGGGGGTGAGAGAATGAATACGGATTAAATCTGTTTAACTACCTACATTAATGAGATATCTCTCGCCTCACAACAAATCAAATACCTTCGCAGACCACCCCCAAAGACTGATGTGGGGGAGTCACGGAAAAAACCACGCGCGTGCACACACACACACACACACACACACACACACACACAACGCGCCAGGCGTAGGCACGCTGTTAATTTCGCGATTTTAACGAGGCAATTGGAGTCTTTCTAAATGTCAGGGTCGCTTCGGAAAAATGTAAAAGAACACGGTTTAATTGCGCCGAGTTTTAAAAGGTCCTATAAATGTAATTGGTATTTTAATACAAGTTATCAAATCATACAGCTTCCTCTCCTAAACATATTTTCAAACAAACGAGGTAGTCATATTTAAAGCTTTAATGATCAATTTCCTTATTATTGATAAAGGTTTAACTATCGTGTGGAGGGAATTGGCTGGGTAACCGGCCCCCAAAAAACGGCTGTAAACTCTTTAACAAACTATAAAACGCAATAAAGCCGGAGTCTGTTGTTGTTTATGCCGCAGCGCATAAAAGCTGTTAGCATTTTACGAGTTCTTTCCTCTACAGCTATAAAACTGCAGCTTCGATCGCCCCCGCCGCCCGACTGCAGCACGGTGGGGGTGACGAAGCCGAAATGAGAACGATTATGGTTTTTATTTTTTCTTTTTTTCGGTGCAAACGGTTGACTTTTCCTAGACTTTTACTTCCTTCAGCCGTGATAGGCACCTGCCCCCACCCGCTCTCTGGAGACCCCAAACTTGTCCCCCTCTCTGCCACACCCAGGCCACTGGCAGAACTTTCCCTCATTAAACAAACAAGAAAGGATTTTCTGTGGAGGAGTCTGGAAGGTCTTGGAAAGGGCCTGATAGTAGAAACTTTCTGGTTAATGGGCAGTGGTGAAGCCCAGAGCAAAGTTCACCCTGCAACTGCTAATTCTGCAGCTTTGCACAATCTCTACTTGTTGGGGGAATGCTAGGGCAGAAAGGGGTCTCCTGAAGGCACTTTTGCCCAGTCAACTCTTTGCAGAGAAGACAAAATGAGGGGAAAGGGTCCTGATACCACCAAAGGGGTGGCACCTCACAGGGCTGCCCCACACCTGCAACTAGGCCTTGGAACCTAGTAACCAATCCCAATGGGCATCCAACCTTCCTGGGCCAATCCCTCACACGTTCTATGTGACCTTCCCTTGAGAGGACATTGCCAATCCCATCAACCCACCAAAAGAGGGAAAGGCAATGGAGGCTGATGCTAGCCACCCAAACCCTGGTGACTGGTCTTGGTTACTATTGTTCTATGCCCTCCACTGCCCCAGGCAGTGGCTGTAAGATATTTGCTCTGGAGAAGCACTTATTATTCCTCAGGCTCCTCATGGCCCTTTGAGTTACTATCACTACCCCCACTGACCTTGGAGTGGAGGGAAGTGGGATAGAGCAAGACCACTGAGGTTTCCATCTTCTCTCTTTGTCCCTTGGGCAGCCTGTAGTTAAACCTGTCCTCCCTGCAGATCTGGGCACCTGAGCCCTGAAACCCAGAATGCAGAACCAAGTTGATGGTGTGCCACACTCTCAGACCGACCGCCTCCCTACATACCTGGCCTAGCTGTGGTGGTACCCAGACTTTAGAAGGCCCCTATCTGTCAGAACCAATGGTTTCCTGGGGTGTCTGATAGGTGAAGAAAAAAAAAAAAGGAAGGAAAGACAAGGAGAAAAAAATCTGGAAGCAAAGGCAGAAGTGGCCTGACAAATACATACAATCCATTGTTATTCAGGAAAAGAGTGATTTGCTTTTAGAGACCTTTTGGGGATCCCAATCTTTATAAAAATGAAACTAGCACCTTTTCTGAAGGAAAGTTACCACTGGGGTCACCCAGTTTTTCAAAAGTGAATCCAGAGAATGGGAGAAGAGCAAAAGGGGAGAAGGGGGAGAGAAGAAAAGAGGAGAGAAGGGACAGGAAGAGGATCTGGAATTTTCGGGAGGCTGAGGGGGCGGTAAGGCAGCAGAAGGCAGAGTCAAGTTGTTGATGGAGCGAACATTTTTATCAAGTGCGGGGGATTTTATGGTCATGATTTGAGGACTTACCAGGGAGGTAGAAATTCAATGGCTTGTTCTAAATCATCCCTACACCGTGCCAGAAATTTCTGACGGAAGGAAAATGTTTCTATTATAAGAAAAAAAAAACAAGAAAAAGAGAGAAGATAATTTATAAACACCCAATGGAGCATAGATTTATTTGTGAAGCTCAAGTTAAGAAGAAACTCCACTTTTCTCTTTGCACCCGGTTCTGGGGAGAAAAAAAAAGAGGTTGGGGTAATTTTGCAGGGTTGGTTATCTATTTCTCCTGCAGGTTTATCCGAGGGGAGGCAGGGATCTGGCGGCTTCGGGAGGAATTTGGAAATTTGGATTTGAAGGTGCTGTGGGCAGATACAGCGCCGATGCCAGAACGAAAAGTGCTTGAGTCCAGGCCTTCATCTGTTAAATTACATAAAGACCGGCGCCCCTAAGGTTTGCCTGGGCAGGGGGGCAGCAGAGCTGGATCCCCCCGCACGGGAGCCACAGCTCTCACCTGGAAGCCGAGGAACGCGGGAGGGAACCGAGCTCCTGCCCCCTGCCGCAGTGCCTGCGCCCACAGCTATCCGAAAACGCGCTTTTCCCGACCCCCGACCCCGACCAATACAGGGAGTGTGGAGCATCCAGAGGAGATATCCGAACCTTCCCGCACCCGCCGCCCTGGGGAACTCATACCCTGCGCCTGGGTCGCCAGGCGCGCGCCCAGCCCAGACCCGGACTGGTACAAAGGCTCTGGAGCCTGAGCTCCAGCGGAGCGACCCCGGGGGCCCAACCGCTTGGGGAACCTCTGAATCCCCATAAAAGCCAAGACTGCATTCCTCCCCAAACTGCCCCATCTCCGGACTGGCTCACCAGGTTCCCTCTCCAGCCAGTGTGGGCAGCCCTCCTCCTGGCAGCTTCCTTTCCATCCGACCCTCTTCTGCGGGTTTGTCCCTCTCACCTGACCTGATCACCCGCATCCGTCGACATTCCGCTTGCTCCCCTGGACGGAAAATGTCATTTTCCCAAGTCAATTCTCTTTGATTTGGACCCATTATTCCTATTATTACTCTTATTCCCCGTTTTTACGCATTTGTTGCCCATCCGAACAGAGCCACTGGGCGAGAAACACTGAGCCCCCATGAGGGAAATTCAGAAAATTGACCATTTGAGGGGAGGGGAACACTACTATATCTGAAATCTATAAAATGGGGTGGAAATACCATAATGAACCCTATATTTTTATTACGTGCAAATTATTCATGACTTTTGGTAGCGCTCAGTTCATAGATTGAGACCCGAACAAGGTGCGGTGTTGGAATAAACCAGAGTCGGTAGGCGCCGCACCAGAAATTTTCACGTGGAGCAAGGGTGCCATCTAGCGGCATTTTTGCAAAAAGGTTCCCACCACCGGTTCTGCCAGGTTCTCTGAGAGCCAGCCACCACCGTGACAAGCGAGAGAAACTTTCATTATTAATAGAAAAGGGGGAGGGAAAGAGCGGGCTAGAGAAAAGACATCGGAATCACGAAACGGTTCATGAAATTGTGCAGATAAAGTAAAAGAAAAAAAAACACCGGAGGAAGAAAAAAAGAAGTCATAAGCTTTTTTCTTTCTACTTTCAGCCCCCCGCCTGCAACCAGCCCCTTCTACAGAAGACCGCCAAGCAGTGCGCCTTTATGTCCATAAAAGGGGGAGTCAAGCACTTCTCAACCCCCACACTATTGTTTCAAATTCAGACGAGTAACAATTGGGCTATTTGTGGGGGGAGAAGAGGCCTGAGAGGAGGGGATAGGACTGTAAAAGGATCAAGAGGCTGCCCTCTCGCCCAGACGTCTGGCCTTGCCAGACCTGTGTGGGGTGTGTGTGGGTGGGTGGGTGTGTGTGCGCGCGCGCGCGTGCGTGAGCACGAGGGCGAGTGTGTGTGCAGGGCCTTCTGGTTTAAGACGCCTGATTTGGGGGGGTGGGGTGAAGAACAAAGACAAGAGTCCAAATTGCAATCTATGAAGCATTTTCAACAACAAAATGTTACTCTCCTTCTCTTTTCTCTCCTCTTTGTCTCCTGGGGTGGGCTTTCCCGAAAGTCCCAAACCTGGAGTCCTGGGCGACTGAGGGTGGGAGCTGCTGGAGAGGGGGCCCACCCATTCCCCTTCCCCGCCAGGCAGGGAGCCCAGGCCCAGCTGCGGCTTTCTCAGCTCCGGAAAGTTTCCCCTCACTGTTTGCTTTGCTGCTGTT